ACCTTCGTGAGCTGCCCTTAAAATGCTTATGCTTCTTCCACATTTTAATGTTATTCTACCTCCTTCTTGGGGTCTCACAGGTAGAAGCCACATCCCAGTATTTTCCTGTAAAATACTTCTTTGTACCATCTCTGTTAAGGACACCTTCTCAGATGTGTAAGGGTCAATAAGATCTTTGCACATATTTTGCCTTTCCAGGACTTTGGCAAATAATGCTGAGGAAACCAAGTTCTGTTGGAAAGCCTTCTGGAGGGTCAACTGTTCTCCTGTGGCTGGAATAACCAGAGAGCCTGTAGAAAGCAATATCTCAAGAACTTTGATAGCCACGGACTCTGATATCTTGCTTTGCGCCAGAGCATCCAGTACTGGAATTCTGGTAGATGACACAGCAGAAATAATGTCCTTAGCTTTATTTAGTTCTTTGAGTTGGCACAGAATTTGTTCATCAATAAGGCCATGACTTTCGGCACCATTCAGGTCAAAGCACTTTCTTAAGTCTGGTGAAATTAGACCAGAAGTCATTAGCTGTGTCTCAAGCAACCTGATCCCTGTGTCATAGTCAATGAGGCCTCTTAAAACTGCCTGAAAGACTGAAAGGACTTCTCCAGTTGTCTGATCAATGGTGCCTGCAATCACTTTATCAAGCTGAAAGGAAAATACAAAAATCTCAGGTCACTCTGTTACACAAGGGTAGGTGGAGTCTCATGCAGCTTAGGTTTAAAAAAAACATTTCAACATAAGATCCTCTACTTACCAAGATGCAGCAATGCTGTGAATGTTAGGCAGCTCAAATGCACAAGTGATCTATGTCAGTGATCTATTCAACAGCACAGGATGTGATAAAAGCTTTGAAAACAACATGCATCTGTGAATTGAAAACTTAATACCGTGTATATTGACAAGGTTAGTGAAGACACAACAGAGTAGATGATGACAGCAAGAAAAAAGAACACATACCTACAAGGCAAATCATGCTTTCTGCATTTATGTGAGATTAGAGTCTAGTGGCATGAAAGAGAGTATCAAACCCCATGCTATTGATGTTTACAGCATACAAACTTCTTTAAGGACAGTAAAAAACTAAGAAACCAGAAAATTGTTACGTACCCCAAAATGTGACAAATTATGTGGAAAGTATTCCCAGAAGTAAAAGAATTAAATATCAAGATAACTTTTTGAATATTGACTATTGTGTCTGGCATGTTGATATGTACTGTCAAATTTTTAAAAATAAGTACTAACCACATTTTAAGTGATTTCTGTTATATTTTAAGAAGATGCTAGGGTATCCTCGCTACAATATATGGCTTCCTATTACTCAAATCAGTCTCATGGATACCTCTGAAAATCAAGCAAACTTCATAATGCATCAACACCACCTTTAGAGATGACCCACAGGCTCTTTTATGACATTGTATTATATAATGAAGTACCTAATATACTAGAAGAATGACTTTAAAAGAGAAGAGTTAGAAAAATGAATGATTCTTTTCTTTTACCATGCAAGGCAGAGATTAAGATGTCACAGAACTGATGATCAGCATGTGTAAGACTGCATTTAATAAACAACACTGAAACCTCCAAACATTTCAATGAACTCCATCTATGGTTTATCCATGTACAAAATTCAAAGTTATTTATTTATTATTGACATAGATTTCCACAGCCATGCAATAAAACTAAGCTTCTTGAAACAGCTTCGTGTTTTAACTAAATAATATTACCTTCTCCTCTACTTTTACGTCTCCTGAGGTTTGCGATTCTTGTAATTGTTTCAGAGATTCGCTGAATAACAAATGATAACCTTCTTGAAGAGTTTTCACTTGTTTTTCCAATTCATTTCTTTCTTCATCTGTCATTCTAAAATAACCAGAAAGAATGAAAAGTGTAGTGCAACTTCTCAAGTGATAAAGATGATATATCAGGTTCAGTAAGTTTGTCACTTGATCCTAAAATAAAATAAAAGAAAATAAAATATAGCCTTGCATACATATTGCTCAGGTCTTGATATGACTGTATATGAAAATTAAGAATGGTCCTAAAAACA